TTTTGGGCTACAATTATATCTCAATAAGAATGTTTTTGGTTATTATTAAGAGTTTCTGAAAAACTGGTTATCCAGAAAAGCAGATCTTCGGACGACCATGGGAACTCCCATAATCATATTCGGAATTAGCATGGTCGATAACCTACGTCCCACTCGATTTCGACCAAAAAGAGATTTATAACCTCGAGAAGTTCCCTCGTTAGAGCAAAATATTTTTCCCAAGTTCTAAGAACGTAAGCTGACGATTTCTACACATTGTTGATATGAAGAAGGCGGGGTCGATGGTTCTAGAAGGTCATTCAAAACAGGTGCAGAGTTTCTGTTCGTGTGAATCAGTAGAATCCCTGTGCACATCAGTTAGATGTGTTTGAGGTTTTTGCTGTGTAGTATCTGCAGATTCGATGTAGGTTAGGGGTACATAGATCTTGAAATCACAATTCTGTAGCTCACCAGACACGAATAGCTGACAGGTCTAATGCTCCATAATCTCAATATCTACAGTAAATGAGAAACCAGTCACTTGAGATATCAAAGACGTGTTCTTTTAATTCACAGACTCATGGCTGTGCAATGGTGAAATTTTATCCTCAAACGCAGCCAAAATTCATCAATCATCGATTAGTCTAATTCACCATCACATTCTTCAGAATTTTGCAAAACGTTTTCAGAATTTCGTGAAATACAACAGAATTATGCAAGAATATTCACGAAACTCTCATCGATTTCTCAGAATTTTGCTAAATCCTATCAGAATTTTGCGAATTAAAGCAGAATATTTTGAAATACAACAGAATTATGCAGGAATATCTATCTATCTATCTATATCCATATATATATATAACTCTAACAAATATTGCTCAATTTTGTTCGTTAGTTCGTTGTCAACTACAGAGAGAAAACTGATATGGGGTAGTCACTCGCGCGTGTTTTTTAAAAATTATCTGTCAGAAAGAATCGTGAAAAGATAATGTGTGCGGACGATAGGGGAGGGCAGTGGGTGGCTGGGAAGTTGAGTATGGGTGTGTATAAGAAATCGAGCCACAAAGGGCTAGGAGTTGATGATAGATAAGAGTTGATTATAAGCGTTGACGACAGAGCTTCCGAAATAATTGTCTCAGCTGAAGAATAAAAGTCATTATCAAGCTACGTCCTTGAAATCCACAGCACCTATATCGTTATGGCTTACCATTAGTTCTAAGATATAGCATTACGGACACAGAATTTACGAAATAAATTTGACTTTTAGCATCTTAACGGCCGTATGTTCCTCAAAAAGTCTCAGGCAAAGGGTCAGACAGTGATTCTTCTCTGATGATCAAGCTTTAACAGTGACTTACGCTACGCGAGATCAAAGGTCCAAACCTGCATACTACAAAATACTGCACACAACCATCAATCTGTACTCATCGGCCATTCTTCTGTTAACGCTGGAGGACAGAAAAGAGTAACAGAATAGAAAATGTTGAGATGACGCTTTCATTTCTGTTCTATCTTTCGTTCGTCCAATCGTTCATATATGACGCATATAATCATCTACGTAGAGAAAAGGAAAACGAACTAAAAACTTCATATGAGCGAGGAAACAAAAATCTCAGTTGAGATCACGAGAATAGTTTGACAGCAACAGATTTGTTATGCATATATTACCGATCAGAAAGAACGAAAGATGAAAAACACGGGAAAGCACTACTACAATTTGCTCTACATTGTAAAAAATAATTACGGTAAAAAGTGACAAAAAGCAAAAAAATGCAGATGCACAATATTCAGCATCGTGATGTTTATTCTGGGATATTCTACTACATTATGAGCAAAATTTTAGCAGATTTCCCGTTATGTCTCACAACATGCCGTAATATCGAGAAATTTAAAAATTGTCACACCAGTTTGCACGATTGTGAGACATAATGAGAGTTCTACTAAAATTTTGTCAATAAAATGGTAGAATATCCCAGAATAAACATCACAATGCAGAATGTTGTGAATTCTGTAGTCTGCTTTTTGCCACATTTTTTGTAATGTAATGGGAAAGAAAGAACACGGTAGAAGAACAAAGTGAATAATTTTATTTTTTCGCGTAATGTGATTCGATAGTGACAAGTTTTCGTTAAAATATCAGCTCAGGAAGAATTCAGAAATAGTACCAAAAGAAATTCTACACTAACGCATATATCAACTGTATTGAGATATAATCGTAACTGTTGACCAGTCAATGCTGAATAGTTGATGTTAGATGGATCTTTTTCAAAAAGTATTTGATCTAGCATGAAGCAAAATGTACCACGTTTATGAAAAGCTGAACTTTTTCGTCAGTGACGGCGGGGGGGGGCCGGG